TTAAATCCTTTGCAAAATATCTGAATAGCAGCATTTTGATTTTTTTTTTCTTTTTAATATATGAAACTTTCTGTCTATGTATGTGTGCATCAAGTCATGATCTTATCTAGGAAAATAAAGGTCCTCTGTTTAATGTAGTTTTTAAAAATTTTTCTTTGGAAAGTAAAATTAATGGTGATACAAAACCAACGACTTCCAGTGATGTGATAGCTGTCGTGCCATTGGATAGCTAGGCACCAAATCCAGCAAAGTTAGAAGAGGCATTGAAGCATTTAAAGGTACACGGTTTTTGAATCATAAAAAATCCCTGAGTCTGAATTTTTACTTCTACTGCCTCCTCTATAAAATGAAAATAACAGTAACCCCTGCCCCAAAGGGCTGTAATGAGGACTAAGTGTTGTAATCTATTTAGAACCCTTAGCACAGTGTCTGACACTGGTAAATCTTAAGTTTTGTCACTTCTTATTAACTATTCATTTATGATTAGCATGTCTCCCTTATGTTAACCTCAATGAAATAAATTAAGATGCGATGAAAAGAACGCTAAGTCTGCCTTTAAATATAACATTCAAGAAATGTGTTTATTCATTTAAAAAAATCAACATAATGGACAGGTAAAAGGCTACCTCATTTCTTCTTAATGTTTTTAACCTGAAGTTTGCTTGCTTTCTAATTCTGACCGCCATTGTTCAGTATTATCATCTCTTGCCTGCATTACTATGGAAGTCACCAAACTATGTCACATGCTTTTCCTCTTATTCAATTCTTCATCCAATTCCAGTGTATTTTCCCACAGCTGCCAGAGTAATCTAAGAGAAACACCTACCTTATAGAGAATTCTCAGACCCCTTAAGATGGCTCTTTTTTATACCTGTCATTCTACCAATAATCCTCTGTATGCCTAGAATATCCTCTTTCCCTCTTTTGACTTTTTCTTTTTTTCTTGGTCAGGAGACAGGAGTGCTTTGTTTACTCCTACTTATCTAGTAAGATTTACCTTAATGATAAAATCCTCTAAGACTTCCTTGGGTCTTTAGCTTGTATTAGATGTTTGTCTAATAGTAAAAACAAACAATGTTTTTGCTACTTTCACATACTCTACAATACTTCACTTTCGACACCAGATGTGTGGGATTTTTCTTCACATACACTAAATAATTCTCCAACAGAAACCATCTAGGTGCTCTATAATTCAATTACATTCTAACCTGGAGATAAGAGCAGATCCCATAGGTTAATGTCTCAGTCTCACAAGACATCCCCCTACTTCATATGCCAGTTGCAAGTTGCAGATTGTGATCTGCACTGCTGACCAACTGTCTATAAACTGGGAGTCCTCATGTCTACTTCCTTAGGTTTGATTAACTAGCTGTGTTGGCTCAAAAAACTCAGGGAAACACATTTACTGGCTTATTATATTAATAAAGGATATGATAAAGGATGCAGACGAATAGCCAGATGGAAGAGATGCGTAGGGCAAGATATGGAGGAAGAGGTGCAGACCTCCCATGCCCTCTCCAGTAGTACCACCCTCCAGAAACCACGATGTGTTCATCAACCCAGAAACTCTTCAATACTCATCCTTTGGGATTTGTTTGGAGCCTTTGTTTCATAGGCATGATTGATTACATTGTAGGCCATTGGCGACCAAACCAACTTTCAGCATGTCTCCCTTTTTCAGAGGTGGGGAGGGGATGTTGAAATTTCCAACTCTTGTCGGGCACGGTGGCTCACACCTGTAATCGCAGCACTTTGGGAGGCCGAGGCGGGCAGATAACGAGGTCAGGAGATCAAGACCATCCTGGCTAATACGGTGAAACCCTGTCTCTACTAAAAATACAAAAAAATTAGCCGGGCATGGTGGCGGGCGCCTGTAGTTCCAGCTACTCGGGAGGCTGAGGCAGGAGTACGGTGTGAACCCAGGAGGCGGAGCTTGCAGTGAGCAGAGATGGTGCCACTGCACTCCAGCCTGGGCTACAGAGTGAGACTCCATCTCAAAACAAACAAACAAACACACAAACGAACAAAAAACAAAAAAAAAATCATATGGTTGAACCTTCCCTGACGATCTGCTCTCATCCTGAGAAGCTCACCAAGAGTCACTTCATTAAAATAAAAGATGTTTCTGTAATTGAAGAAATTCCAAGGGATTCAGGAACTGTGTCAAAAACTGAGGTCAAAGACAAAATATCAGATGATTCTTCTAGCACACCAATCTCAAGGATTTTAGGAGCTCTATCTGAGTAACCAGGGACAAATATTCTGTTCTAATATTTCCTTTGGGACCCTGATTCCTGACACAGAGCTCCTAGACCTTTGTAATTTCCTGAATGCTAGGAATGTCTGGCACAGAGTTCCTAAATCCCTTGGAATTTCCTGGGTGATAGAAGCATTTTTGTTCCAATGAGGTGACTCCTAGTGGGTTCTTGGATAGCTTCAATATGGAGGCTTGTTGTCAGGGAAACCAACAGAGTGATTGCAGGGTTGGAACTTTCAGCCCCACCCACCAACCTCTGGATACATGGGAGGGGCTTAAGGTTGAATTGATCTCCATCAGCCAATGATGTAATCAATAATGCCTACCTAATGAGGCCTCCATAAAAACCCAAAAGGACAATGTTTGGAGAGATTCTGGGTTATGAGCAGTTGAATGTTCCTGGAGAGTAGCTCAACTTGACCAAAGAGAGCATGGAAGCTCCACACCTCTTCCTCCATACCTTGCCCTATGCATCTCTTCCATCTAGCTGTTCATCTGAATCCTTCTTCATTTCCTTTATTAATATAATAAACCGGTTGTATTAGTCCATTTTCATGCTGCTGATAAAGACATACCCGAGACTGGGGAATTTACAAAAGAAAGAGGTTTAATGGACTTACAGTTCCACATGGCTGGGGAGGACTCATAGTCATGATGGAAGGCAAGGAGAAGCAAGTCACATCTTACATGGATGGCAGCAAGCAAAGAAAGAGCTTTGTGTATCTCTTTTTAAAAGTCACCATTTTTAAACCATCGAATCTTGTGAGACCCATTCACTATCACAAGAACAGCATGGGAAAGACCTGTCCCCATGATTCAATCATCTCCCACCAGGTGCCTCTCTCAACATGTGGGAATCATGGGAGCTACAAGATGAGATTTGGGTAGGGACACAGAGCCAAACCATATCATTCTGCCCCTGGCCCATTCCAAATCTCATAGCTTCACATTTCAAAACCAATCATGACTTCCCAACAGTCCCCCAAAGTTTCAACTCATTTCAGCATTAACTCAAAAGTACACAGTCCAAAGTTTCATCTGAGACAAGGCAAGTCCCTTCCACCTATGAGCCTGCGAAATCAAAAGTAAGTTAGTTACTTCCTAGATACAATGAGGTTACGGCATTGGATAAATACAGCTGTTCCAAATGGGAGAAATTGGCCAAAACAAAGGGGTTACAGGGCCCATACAAGTCTGAAATCCAGTGGGGTAGTCAAATTTTAAAGCTCCAGGATGATCTCCTTTGACTCCAGGTCGCACATCTGGTCACGCTGATGCAAGAGCTGGGTTCCCACGGTCTTGGACAGCTCCGCCCCTGTGGTTTTGCAGGATACAACCTCTCTCCCAGCTGCTGCTTTCATCGGCTAGCATTGAGTGTCTGTGGCTTTTCCAGGCACACGGTGCAAGTTCTCAGTGGATTTCCCATTCTGGGGTCTAGATGACAGGGGCCCTCTTCTCACAGCTCCACAAGGCAGTGCCCCAGTAGGGACTCTGTGGGGATTCCAACCCCACATTTCCCTTCTGCACTACCCTAGCAGAGGTACTCCATGAGGGCCCCACCACTACAGCAAACTTTTGGCTGAGCATCCAGGTGTTTCCATATATCTTCTGAAATCTAGGTAGAGGTTCCCAAACCTTAATTCTTGACTTCTGTGCACCCACAGGATCAACACCACATGGAAGCTGTCAAGGTTTGGGGCTTCCACCCTCTGAAGCCACAGCCTGGCCCCTTTCAGCCATGGCTTGAGCAGCTGGGTCACAGGGCACCAAGTCCTTAGGCTGCACACAGCACAGGTACCCTGGGCCTGGCCCATGAAACCACTTTTTCCTCCTGGGCCTCTGGGCCTGTGATGGGAGGGACGAAGGTTTCTGACATGGTCTGGAGACATCTACCCCATGGTCGTGGGAATTAACATTAGGCTCCTTGCTACATGCACAAATTTCTGCATCCAGCTTGAATTTCTCATCAAAAAAATGGGTTTTTCTTTTCTACTGCTTATCAGGCTGCAAATTTTCTGAACTTTTATGCTGTTTCCCTTTTAAAATGAAATGTTTTTAACAGCACCCAAGTCACATTTGAATGTTTTACTGCTTAGAAATTTCTTCTGCCAGATACCGTAAATCATCTCTGTTGAATTCAAAGTTCCACAGATCTCTAGGGCAGGGGCAAAACGCCGCCAGTCTCTTTGCTAAAACATAACAAGAGTCACCTTTGCTCCAGTTCCCAACAAATTCCTCATCTCCATCTGAGACCACCTCAGCCTAGACCTTATTGTTTATATCACTATCACCATTTTTGTCAAAGCCATTCAACAAGTCTCTAGGAGGTTCCACTTTCTAACATTTTCCTGTCTTCTTCTGAGCCCTCCACACTGTTGCAATCTCTACCTGTTACACAGTTCCAAAGTTGCTTCCACATTTTTGGGTATCTTTTCAGCAGTACCCCACTCTACTGATACCAATTTACTGTATTAGTCCATTTTCATGCTGCTGATAAAGACATACCTGAGACTGGGGAATTTACAAAAGAAAGAGGTTTATTGGACTTACAGTTCCACACGGCTGGGGAAGCAAGTCACATCTTACATGGATGGTGGCAGGCAAAGAGAGAAAGTTTGTGCAGAGAAACTCCCGTTTTTAAAACCATCAGATCTTGTGAGACCCATTCAGTATCACAAGAACAGCAAGGGAAAGACCTGTCCCCATGATTCAATCATCTCCCACTAGGTCCCTCTCACAATACATGGGAATTATGGGAGCTACAAGATGAGATTTGGGTGAGAACACAGTCAAACCATATCACTGGTAAATGTAAGCTCACCCTGAGTTTGGTGAGCCATTATAGCAAATTAATGGAACCCAAAGAGAGGGTCATGGGAACTCCCATTTATAGCAGGAGTCAGAAGTATAAGTGACAACCTACTTCTGGCAAAGCCAATAGGTGATTGGCTTCTGAAGTTTGGGGCAGTCTTGTGAGACTGAGCTCTTAACCTGTGGGATTTTATGCTATCTGTAGTGACAGAATTGAATTAAATTAGATTATACCTACTTGGGATCTCCTAGAGAATTGATTGTTGGTGGAAAGAAATCTACATACATTTTGGTAACCAGATGTGAAGTGTTCTGTGTTGTATTGAATGTAAGACTAGGAAAAACTGTTTGCTTATTTTTTAATCTCTAACACACTAGTCCAGGCCTAAATGTTTCATTTCAGTCTACATTCGTCTGACTTTTGGGTTTGATGAACCAGTCTTTCTTCAGTTCTATTACCTCAGGGGGAGTCATATGAATATTATACTTATGTAAAAACTTTTACCTTCATTGCTAACTAGGAAAAAGAAAAATTCAAAGACAGAACACCAGCTTAGAAAGAAGATAACAATGCTACTTGTTGATTGATTTCCATATGGAAAGCAAGGAGTTATTGGCCTCAACCAACATATTCATTTGAAAGAGAAGCATGGGTAGACCTGTTACAAGTTAGCAGGTTTGTGTCTTTGGCTCTGCTGCCTGTAAAATAAAATCATAGGACCAGATTTGAGTTACAGATATTAATGGGGTCATTTAATTGAACATAATTTTCATTAATAGTTGTTCAAAATTCATGTTGACATAAAGCAATAAACTAAATCAATGGAACCCCCTGTTAAATAGCTCTCGTGACATAAAGAAAACGAGCTAGTCTGTGGTACATTTTCTATATTTACAACTGTTTAATGAGTAGAAGTCCTTGGATGTAAAAAATCTGTTTTCCAGAAGATACTGGGAAACATTCCAAAGAGAACTGGATTCTCAAAAAAGAAAAAAAAAAAAAGAAAAGAAAAGAAGTGTCATCGTGTATCGTATATTCACTACATTAAGATATTTAAACTTTAGGAAATTAAACACTAGTTGAAAAAACACACTTTTCTAAATAATAGCAGGATAATTATGATGAAAAAGTTTATCCAAACATACCTACTCCAAAGAAATTACAGTAAGTGCTTCTTGTCGTAAGTTAAATTTTAAGTGGCTAAGATAGTCTTTTAAACTTGTACTATTTTAGTCATATCTATTCCCATCAGTCACATTAAATCTACATTAAACAAAACTAATTGCACACACACATCTTTGTGCTGAAAGCACAACCCTTTCTTATGTAGACTCTTAGATCTTGAATTCTGCCTGATTTGTCTAGGAACCAAAGTGTATCAGTTTTCTGCATATAAATTTTAAAAGAAGATACAACCCAGCACTATAATATACAAGTTAAACATTCTTTCATCCTCAACATTGGTGGAAGACATTTTATTTTGGTTAAGAACCCTGATTAATACTCTTAGAAACTAGTATGTAACTCATCATAGAGCCCAACGTTTAAGAATAAGAAGAATAGATTTCTTCTTTGAAAACCTAAACCCATTCCTTGGTCTTTCATGTTTTATGGACAATTCCAGAGGAACAGTTAATGGTCATTGGTCAAATCTAATGGATGTTTTTTTGTTACACATGAGGTACTTCATTTAAAAAATTAAACCCTTCTGGGCATTTTGTAATTTTAAAATTCTAGGAATTTAAAACCACTATTATAAAGGTTTAGAACCACTCTACTGTTTCATAAACAGTTATATATAGTCATAATGCCAATATACCACATCAGTTTACAATAAACATATTTCCCTATGCTATTTTTATAGCAGTAATTTGGCAACAGCAGAAATAAAACGTGTGTGTGCGTGTGTGTGTGTGTGTGTGTATGTATGTATGTGTATTAGTAAGATAAATTACAATGTGTATTTGTAAGTCTATATTGAGTGCTTACAACTGTGTTTTTGGAGTTTTACATTACACATTTAGTTTGTTTTATACTAGAAAAGTCTCAAAAATATGAAAATTTTTGAGCAACAGGAATTCATTCAAATATGCGTTTGGAAACTAATCCTGCTCTGTTTTAGACATACTGATTAGTGTTCCTCATGATTCCCACACCCAGGTTGAGCTGTAACCACAGCATTGAAAGATAAGTCATCAAAACACTTGTTAATTATCCATAATTGAGAACACATGGACACATGGTGGATAACAACACACACTGGGGCCTGTCGGGGGGATGCTGGGGGAGAGAGAGCATCAGGAAGCATAGCTAATGCATGCCAGGCTTAAAACCTAGGTGATGGGTTGATATGTGCAGCACACCACCATTGCACACATTTACCTATGTAACAAACCTGCACATCCTGCACATGTACCCTGGAACTTAAATAAAAGTTGAAGAAAAAAATAATGAATAAATAAAATTTTTAAGGAGACTTTGTCAAATTAAAACTTTTGGTCTGTGAAAGACCTTAATAAGATAATAAATGGGCAAAAATACGAAAAGCCATTTTACTGAAGCAGATACACTGAACAAATAGCCAAATGAAAAGATTTTCAACATCACCATCCATCAAGTCAGACCTCAGCCTCTTCTGCTTCCTCCATGTGAACTCCTGTCTGCTTGCCTGAAATGTTAATGTTATTAATGAATTTTCATACCAATAAGGGAAAACAATAGGTGCTTCAATACATTTAACCTTCAAATATATTGTAGTATTTTTCTTTTTCATTATTTTTTTTTCTGCTTGGGGAATTCATAGAGTTGTTTCAAAAGAAAACTGTAGGGATGATTCCACAACTCTAGATGTACTAAAAAGTTTATTAAATTGTATACTGAATATGAAAAAAAAATGATCCATAACCTTCTTCTAGAGTCTACTCAGGCTTCTAAGTCAGAATTCAGGCCTCTATACTTGGTCTACAGTTCCAGAAAACTTGTGAGGTGTGTTTCTCTTTTCTTCAGAGTTCAAAAAATGAATGTAAAGCAAAGTCTTTTATATCCGGGCTAAGAAAACACTTGTATCTCAGTTGTCTACACAAACTCAAAATCAGCAGTTTCCAGTTCTCAACACCTCTTTGCACTCCCCCAGGAGAATCTATTTGCACCAAATACATTTCTGAGAGAGACTGATTTTAATAAAGATTTTATAAAGGAGGAAATTAAAAGGATTTTACATCAATCTCTGCCACATACCCTGTGGCATGCAGTTTCATAAGTACCTATCCGACAAGGCTGGGTGCGATGGCTCATGCCTGTAATCCCAGCACTTCGGGAGGCCAAGGCGGGCAGATCACAAGGTTAGGAGTTCGAGACCAGCTTGACCAACATGGTGAAACCCGTCTTTACTAAAAACACAAAAATTAGCTGGATATGGTGGCGTGCACCTGTAATCCCAGTTACTCAGGGGACTGAGGCAGGAGTACTTGAATCCCGGATGTGGAGGTTGCAGTGAGCCGTGATTGGTCCACTGCACTCCAGCCTGGGAGACAGAGTGAGACTCCGTCTCAAAAACAACAACAACAAAAAAATGTACCTATCCGACTTACATTTTCTTGCTAGTTCCTCTGGCAGCTCTCCTAACTCTCAACTCAGGAAGAGGCAGTTTTCCTTCTCCCATCTCCTTCTACCATTTGAAACCTGGACTTTGCTGCCATAATGCAAAAAATTCATCAAAACTTAATCGCAACAAAACTGGCTTTCTCTGTAACGAAAATGTCTTAGCAACTGAAAACAAACAAGGCCCTTTGCAAAATCTGCAGTCATTAATGATAGGGATCATTGTTTTATTATTAAAGAGCACCCAATTTTTCATCCTTCTATTCACCTAGATCTCAAACAGCTACTCATAAAAAATTTTAGAAGCACCCTCTTGGTACTGAGTTTACCAAATTCCTCAAAAATGAAAAGGGCATTCAGTCACTTGACTCATATTATAGTAACCAACATGAATTAACCAACCAATATAAAATGTCCCTAATGTATTTAGCAAAGAGGGATGAAGGGAAAGAGGACATCTAGTGTCACCCAGCTATGAACTCACGTGGGTTTGGCAATCAATGTCTACACTAGAAGTATTTATCATGTTTTTTTGTGTTTTTTAAAGGGTCTACCAGAGAAAGATCTTGTTTTCAAGAGATGTATGAGCATCCTAGATTCTGTTTAGTGCGTTCTTTAAGTGTAGAATCACCCAAGCATATTCAGCCTCAAAGATACTTGGTGATTTAGAATGCTCCCCGAGCCATTTATCTCCAAGGGCCAAACCACACCTTCAAACTTGTATTTAAAGCTCTATAAATTTTTGGTCAGGTCATATGTCAGTGGGAGAGTATTTCCTCCTTTTTAATTCATTCAGCAGTACTGACTTTATAAATATTTATGGAGCACCTGTGATGTTCAGACGCTATACTAGATGCTGGACCACAGAAATGATACCCACCTGCTCTGGTTAGTTTCTGTTTGCACATTGAAATTCATCTCTGCCCCTCCCCACCCTTCCTTGAGTTCTAAGAGGCTGACCTGTTAGGACTATGTCAGCAGGGCTGTGTTTGTTTTCTGGTTTCCTGCTGGGTTTGTCCAATGAGAGATACTGGCAGAAACAAGAGGAGAGGTCAGGGTATTTTTTCTCTCTGATCCTATGGCATAGGCTGCAAATTGGCTGAGGCTAAATTCCAACCCAGAACCATAGCTTCTGTGTCTTCAGGTCTCACTGGTTTTGTTAGAAGTTGATTTCCTTGCCTCTTTAGACATAGAGGTAGTAATTACCTGCCTCTGTTGGTAATCTCTGGGTGTTTTATCATCTCTGGTTAGTTCCCATAATCTTGTCCACACCTATATTACTCTGTTCTCATGCTGCTGATAAAGACATACCTGAGACTGGGCAATTTACAAAGGAAAAAGATTTAATGGAGAACTCACAGTTCCATGTGGCTGGAGAAGCCTCACAATCATGGTGGAAGTCAAGGAAAAGCCAGTCACATCCTATGTGGATGGCAGCAGGCAAAGAGAGAGCTTGTGCAGAGAAACTCCCATCCTTAAAACCATCAGATCTTTCGAGACTCATTCACTACCATGAGAACAGTACAAGAAAGACCCACTCCCACAATGTAATTACGTTCCACTGAGTTCCTCCCAGGACATGTGGGAATTGTGGGAGTTACAATTCAAGATGAGATTTAGGTCGGGACACAGACAAACCATATCAACACCTTTGTGAATAATTCTTTCTTTACACTCCCTTCACATACCCCTTTTGTATGCCATCCATTTCCTACTGAGGCCATGTCTAGTACACCTCTCTTGAGAACTAGTCTTTTTTTTTTTTTTTTTTTTTGAGATGGAGACTCGCTCTGTCGCCCAGGTTGGAGTGCAGTGGTGCAATCTCGGCTCACTGCAACCTCTTGTCTTGGGTTCAAGCAATTCTCCTGCCTCAGACTCCTCAGGAGCTGGGATTACAGGCACACACCACTGTGCCCAGCTTAATTTTTGTATTTTTAGTTGAGACGGGGTTTCACCATGTTGGCCAGGCTGGTCTCGAACTCCTGACCTTGTGATCCACCTACCTCAGCCTCCCACAGTGCTGGGATTACAGGCATGAGCCACCGTGCCTGGCAGAGAACTAGCCTTATAGAGAACCAGATATAGATGCAAACAATGTTTTATACCTAATGGTACAGTTAAATAAAAAGTCCCAGTGGGTCATGCCTGTAATCCCAGCACTTTTGGAGGCTGAGGCAGGCAGATCACGAAGTCAAGAGATGGAGACCATCCTGGTCAACATGATGAAACCCCATCTCTACTAAAAATACAAAAATTATCTTGGTGTGGTGGCATACACCTGTAGTCCCAGCTACTCAGGAGGCTAGGCAGGAGAATTGCTTGAACCCGGGAGGCGGAGGTTGCAGCGAGCCAAGATCATGCCACTGCACTCTACACTCCAGCCTGGCGACAGAGCAAGACTCCATCTCCAAAAAATAAAAAAATAAATAACTGATAAAAACTGACAAACTTAGCTAGTACACAAACTCTTCTGTTACTTTTTGTTTCTTCCTGCCTGGAATGCAGATTCAATGTCTGGAAGTACAGCAGTCATCCCAAGACAATGAGAACTAAAGTCTTTTCACAAGATACAATGTATGGAATGAAATGGAATGGGAAGGTAGAAGGACATCTGGGCTTTGATAACTTCCATGAACAGATAGTCTGGACAGCAACTGCTTATATCTCAACATTTGATGTGAAGAAAACAAACCCTATCTGCTTAACTTATTGCAGCCTGGTTTCTGATACATGGAGGTGATGAAACCCCATCTGATTTGATGAGTTTCTTAGGGCAGCAACAGGAATTTGTCACACAGACTAGGTAAGGAGTCATGTATAAAGACATGACCTAGCATTATAAACAAAGAAAAGAAGTTCTGAAAGGCAATGGCTGGACCCAACAGTAGCATTTATGTGGCAGGGAAGGAGGACGGTGGGAGAAGAAATGAGATTGAGGTTGAAGGATAGGTAACACCCAGATCATAAAGCATCTTACCTACTGTGTCAAAGGAGTTTCGGTTTTATTCTGCCAGTAAGAAAGAGTATCAATTTCAATGCTTTCAGCAGCAAGTAACAGAACACCTAGTAAATTCAGCTTAAGTGATATAGACATTTCTTTGCACACATTTAATAAGAGGCCTATATATAGGGAGTTACAAGGTAGATTCAGAGACTCACTAATGTAATCATCTACAGTGGTTTCCTCTGCGATTCTCTTAGCTTTCCATTCCTGGAAGCATTTTGACAGTCATACTTCAGACAGGCATCACAGCCAAAAGGTAAGAAAAGGGGACTACAAACTAAGCATCTTTCTTCTCTCCCTGTTTTATTTTTATCAGGGAGGAAGCTCTTTTCCAGAACTCCCATCATCCTTTCCCATAGGTTTGACTAGCAGAAGTAGATCACGTACCTCTAAACTGATCATTGGCAAATGGAAGTATTTTTAACAAAAGTAACAGAATATGTTAGTGTTTGCTCAATATCTTTTCTTACCTTTCTGTTCATCTTCTCAGTGAGAAAATGTAAGTTTTGGCTGAGTACATGATGACCTAGAATAAACAGTGTCTTTCCCAGACTCCCCATGCAACAAGTTTTGACCCTCTGACTAAGTTCTAGCCACTGGGTAAAAGACAAATTAAGTGGAAACTTCTGGAAGCTTTTCTCAAAAGATTGGAATACTTCCTTATCTTTTTTTTTTTAAATTCCTTGTTCTTTCTTGCTGTCTGGAAGGCAGGTGTGATTGTGACAGCTTGAACAGACACTCAGGTCCGTGAAATGACTTAAAGAATGGAACCAAGGTAGACCTCCAAGATAGAAGGAGCTTTGGTTCCTGAGGACTTTGTAAACATAGATTTGTCATGCCAGCTTCAGACTGCCAACTTTTGGAAATTACTATAAAAATGAAATAACATTCCATTGTACAGTATTTAAGTTGCTATTATTTTTGTTCTCTGTTATTTGCAGCCAAATCTAATACCAACTAATGACTTAAACTGTTTGTGGTTTATTTTCCTGGTCAGAAAGTGGGAACCACTTCCCCTGAGCACATTGCTGACTCAGAATGCCTCAACAAAAGAATGATTCTTT